TCTAGTTTCATTCTGACATTGACACATGTCGTGCTATGATTAGCCTTTGATGTCAACACGTGTCGCGTTATGATTGGCCTCTGATGTTGACATGTGTCAAGTTGTGATTGGCCTCCTGGTTGGAGGGAGACTCTTGTGGGTCCTTAGCGGTATAATGTTGACCGGTGCTTAGTAGTTTCAGGGTTGGTCAAGTATGGTACAAACAAAGGTTATTGGTTTTGGCCTAAGCTAAAAAAAGTTGGGCCTCTGAGAAGGCTTGAGTTCTTTGATGAATTGGGCTTAGGTTCTAATAGGCTGGGTGACCCGGCCCAAAGGCCTCAATTCTAGGGTGGTTTCTGGGCACCATTTCAAACGGCCATAACTTCATCGTTACTCAACAAAATCAAGTGATCCAAAAATTAAAGTTGTAGTAATCGACGAGATGAAGAGATTGGTACCTTGCACGATAGCTAACATGTTGTGGTTCGGCCAGAAAATGCCTCAAAATGTGGCTGTCCGCATGAAAACTGTTAACTCGCTAGAATTTCTGGGTTAAATTTAAACGTCTATAACTTTGTCAATACTCAACGAAATTAAGTGATTCAAAAGCCAAAATGTAGTTAGTAATGTGGAAAAAGATTCATACCAAGTGGGGACCGAGTAGTGGCCAAAGTTGGCTGGAAAATGGCCCGAAAGATGGAAAAATGACCACGGCCATTGACTTTCCTTAAGCTTTTCCGAGTTCCTACCACCAAAAAACTTACTAACCGTGAACCTAGACATGACCTACAATGATAGGGACCAATTTAGAGGCTTACTTCATCGAAAATCATGAAAACACGTCGAGGAAGATGATGAATAGTGATAGCTTCACTGTGGGGCTTCCCGGTGCACGGCCTAGGGTTTGTGGGGCCCCTCTGTCCAGGTGTGCAGGTGGTTGTGTGTGTGTGTGTGATCTCAGAGAGGAGGAAGGTGGGTTTGTAGAGTGATGAGAGCTCAGGAAGAGGGAGTCCGAGAGTGAAGAGAGGGAGAGAAACTGAGATAAAAAAGAGTTGTGAGAGAGAGAGAGAGCTCTCAGGTCCAACAAAGGAGAAAGGAAAAAGAAAAAGGGTCGGGGGAAAGGGAACCAAAAAGGAAAGTGGGCCCCAAATAGCACACAAAATAAGACCCAAAAAAGCAATATTTTAAACAAATGAAACCCAACCAAACTAAAAATATGAAAATACCCTTCCGTTATGTAAATTCCTGGATGGGTTGTTACACCTAAGCTTGTATAATTGATCATTCGGGCTTCGCTTTGTTTTGTACACTTCTCTTTAAGTCTCCGAGAAGCTTGCCAAAATAAAACGATGCGATACAAATTTTACTAATCGTAAGATATTGATTAATAAAAATGATGAGGATTATATACAATCGTAAGATATTGATTAATAAAAATGATGAGGATTATATACCTTTCTATTGGATACATCCATCAAAAGTTGACTGGTCCAACAAGCAATGCCTTATTCGATAAGTGAACCATCACATGGATCATACTTGTGAAGAAAGCTGAAGGAAATATCATCTCAATTGTGAAAAAAAAGCTGGACAACAACATGATTGGTTTCATTACATCAGCTGGCAAGAGATGTCGAATACCCACATGGCAGTCATGACTCTTTAGTCCAGCTAATTTACCCCCGTCAACGTTTAATCAACATGCGATATTTGAAGCATACCCATCGGAAAACTTTACAGACGATAAAAACTTTAAAAATTCTTTTTTTTGTCATTCGGTTTCATGGAAAAAAAATGCAAGATCCCTTCTGGCCTTATCACTGTCCATATTCATCCATAAACCATGTCGTATTCCCATTCATTCCAACTTAAGACAAGCTTTGATTGTTTCCTTTGTCTTGCCCTCGATATCTAGAATTATGCCGACCAATGTGTCAAATACATTTTTCTCAGCATGTATAACATCGAGGTTGTGTCCCAATTTTAGTTTCGACCAATACAGGAGCTCAAAAAATATAGACTTGTGCATCCAGTTCATATGTGTAGAAGGTCTGGTCCTACTTACAGTTTTCCTGAACGGAGCAAAATCTAAATAGTTAAGCTGTTCCAAAATCTGGTCACCAGACCATTCTTTAGGTCTAAGGTGAGGCTTTTTTTCCCGTCAAACTTTTTATCCTTCTCTCGCCACTCGTGGTCCCATGGCAACTATCTTCGATGACCAAGGTAACAAACTTTTCTGGTGTGCCAACTAGATGTTATGTCTTCTTTGCATACATGGCATACCATGTGAACCCTAGTGATTCACCCAGAAACCATTGCATATGTGGGGAAATCGTTCACAGTCCACATCACTACTGCCCACAAAGTGAACATCTTGCCAGTACACTTATCATATGTGCGCACACCGTGCGTCCATAAATCTTTTAGCTCATCCACGAACGACTGTAAATACACATCAATTGACTTACCAGGATCCTCGGTTATCAATAAAGTCATCATCATGTATTCATTTTTCATACATTTCCATGGCAGCAAATTATATAGAAATATGAAAATCGGTCAAGTGTTATGGTATCGGTTTAGAACCCCAAACAGATTAGATCCGTTAGTGGCAAGTCTCAATCTAACATTCCGAGGATCAACAGGAAAATCAGGGAACGTTCGATCGAACTCTTTACATGCCTCCCTATCTGTAGGATGCCTCAGGACATCATCATCTACCCGTTTTTCCTTATGCCATATCATGTCGGTGGCAGTATGCGTTGACATATACAACCGCTGCAACCTAGGTTTCAAAGGCAAATAATGCATGACTTTTTGTGGGATCTACGTCAATCTATTCTGAGATGTCACTTTGAACCTCAACTCATTGCATACAGGGCATTTATCCAACGCTTTATTCTCCTTATAGAACAATACATAATTATTTTTGCAAGCATGAATTTTTTTTATAACCCAATCCCAGACCATTCAACACCTTTTGAGCATTTCTATTGACTTTCGGCAAACAATTGTCCTTTGGTAGCATTCTCTTGAAAACCCCCAAAATATAATCAAAACACTAGTTCGACATACGATACTTTATTTTCCCTTGCATTAGTTCCACAATAGCTATGAGAACGGAAAATCCCTCACACCCCGGGTATAACTCTTGGTTGGAATTTTTTAATAGTTTTTCATATTGTTCGAATTCTTCACCATCCATTGGTGTAGGCACGTCATCTTCCACTTCCTGATTGGTATTTGTCGAATCAAATGGAAAAAACATAATTTAAGATTTCCATGACTTGTCGACTCTTGTCACGTTTGAAGACGAAGCATTGTCTAATTGTTCCCCGTGATGGTTCCAAATATTATAGGTCTCTACCATTCCATTCCGCCAAGGATACGTAGGCAATCTAGAGATTCAATCTAGATGCAACCGCACAAGGACAAAAATCCAAAATTGAATCCCTAGTTCACCTTCACCAAATTCACCATAAAATCCAAATTGATTCCCAGGTTCATTCAACCAAATTCACCGAATACAAAATCTTTTTTTAGTGGGTCATTCACTCACTAAAAATCTCAAACCAAATCAAAGGAACTACGAGTGACTTGACCCTCAAGAGGGTATGTAGGCAATCTAGGGCTTGACCTAGGTGTAGTTGCAAAATCAAATAAATACCCAAATCCCCAAGTTACGATTTATTCATAATGGAATCAAAGGGTTTTTCCTTTTAATTAATGAAGGATTGTAATAGACGCATAGTCTAGAATGAGTTGAACTCAAATTAATAAAACCCTCTTTAGAAAAATGAACGAGGGTGAAATTGTGTCGAGTGAATTACTTGTTTACATATTGTGTACAATTTTTGCTCAACAATGACCATCAGGAGAATCAGTCCAAATCAAGGTATCATTAATTTCAGCAGTCTTAGGCAAGCAAATAAAACAAATTTGACCCCAAATAAGATGTAAGCTATCAAGGAGAGAGGCAGGACAAAACCGGTTCCCATCAATAATAAAATTGGAGACCCGTGCATGCAAAGTTTTACTCAAAGCCTTGGAATGTTTAAAACTTCAATTAAGAATTTATCCAACAAATTGGCATGCCAAAAACAAACTTTTTTACCTGAACCAATAATCCAACATCAGTTATGTTGTAAATTAAAATAAATTAAAAAGAAAATTAAAAATGGTTTTTGTAAAATTAACTTGATAAGTAAGAAAAACAAATAGTTTTGAAAAAAATTAATTGTGAAGGGCACTAGGTTTAGCCATTGTCATTAACAATTCTTTGTAATTCTACCAATAGTACCAGAAAATAGAGCTTGCCCTACAAATGTTTGCCAAGCGGACTAAATTTCGTGGGGTAAAGGGAATTTACCCAATGCATGTTTTAGTAGGTAGGGCAACGATGGTCAACATTTAGGGTTTACTCAAAACCTTTACGAACCGGAAACCTATCATAGGGCAAGTCACAATTCTTCCGCCAAAATTTTGGTGCGAAGAGGGCAAAAAGTGGCGCGCAATATTTAGATATTTGCCCAACAAATTTAGTATTCGTCGGCAAGGTTGGATTTGCCCGACAACCATGTCCGTCGGGTAAGTTCTACTATAGGTGGTCAAAGGCCCACACTGACGTGTAATAAATATCCACCGACACAACCCTTGTTCGACGCTTTCCATGTACTTGCCATAATGAGTGGTGCGTCGGGCAAACCCCTATTCATCAATTATAAGTATGTGTTTTTCGATCCTCATCCTCTTTCTCCTCTTTTTTTTTTTTTTTTTTTTTTGTTTCAATACTCTAAGAAATCAAACGATGAAAGATTGTTTAAAAGTCAAACTACTTGGTAAACTAATGAAGACAAATCCTATGCAAGTACTATATCTCTATATACTAAAACTCAGTCGGATGGTACTGTGGATGACCAGTGTGATGACAATTTTGCCCCTCGATTTTTTCTTTCCTTTGCCGTTTTGTTGCCTGCTTCGCACAGTTAAATACCTGTGTTGCTCATGATTGCCACGCGTTGATCATCCTTTGTCTGTGTGGTTCGATTCTATCGTAGCGAATGGACGACGTTTCCCTTCTAGCCCACGCGTCCATCATCGATGGTCCCTTCAGTTCGACTTCTTCTCGATTTCGCTTCTCCCCTTTTGGGTATTTTGGAACCTAGGTTTTTTTCTCTCCCGCATCGCCCTTTTTACTTGCTGTTTAGCGTTGCCATCTTTCTCCAGATTGGCAGGCCGATAGAATCCGGCGAGGTCAGCATGTACGTCTATAGAATTACCGCCTGTGATCTCAGCCATCTCAGCCACACTCGCGTAACCGTTAATTTCGTTGTTCTGTTCAGGTTCGCACATTTAATCTCATTATTTGCATGTTTAATTTAGTATTCATGCAATTAATTGTGCTTTTGATTAGTGTGGAAGTTGAAATGTTTGATTTTATGCATGTACTTTATTTTTTCTGTTTTCTGTTAGAAATTAAATTACTTTTCGTTGAAAATCGTTGAGCTGCTAGAAGTTTTTGCCTTTTTTCTTAATTTGATCGAAATTCATTTCTTATCCACATAACCTAGAGTCTCCTGATGAGTTTTTCGTCTTTGTCAGTGTGTCTGATTTTATTTTATTTATTTTTCGATTTACAGATAGATTTGTGTTTAAATTTTCTTTTTATAATTTTGGGGTTTTGTTTTGTTTGTGTGCTCGGATGCTGTGTGTGGCTGTCTGGTTTCATTCTTTTTTGCTTTCAGGAAACACTGGTGTTCTAATTTTGGGGTTTTGCTGAAGGTATATATTAGTTTTTAATATATCAACAGTTTTGCAGGGTCAGTTTTGTGTTAGTTTTGTTACTGACTGTTTTTTCCTGTGGAGAAGTACGGTGGCTCTACAGCTCACAACAGTGTATGTTATTATTTTATTCTTGGGTTAGAGCATGCATATATTATCAGTTGCTAGATGTCATGATCAATCCCTATATTCTAATGTGAAGTAAAAAAAGAAGGAACACTCTATAACTCTAATCAGATGTCCACTGAAAAGAAAACAAATCATATTACCAATATGTGTTAAAATTGTGGTGAAATAATAAGATGAATACAATGTTTCTGATAGAGATGACCCATGATAACAAAATGGTCAGGCGGAGTCATTTAATGGTTGTCAAGGTTGGGACTTTGTCTTAGTGAGTAAGAGTACATCCTATATCAGGGAAAAACACTAAGATCCGATACACTATCAATCTCATATGACAGGAGAAATAAAAGCTTTAGAAGGTACTCCTGTCTTTTTCTTTTTCTTTTTTTTTTTTCTTTTTTTTCATGTTTCAGTTTGTTTTTCAATTCAGTTATCAATGCTATTTGCTTTTTACTATTTTGTTTTTCGTTTTTAATAGTATACGAACATAAAAAAGCCTCCAAACCTCCAAAGAGACCACAGGTTTTGAAAACCCCTGTGAGTGGAGTCACTGAGCTGCTTAGATTCAATCTTTGAGATTTCCGAATTTTCGAGCTTTCAATTTTGTGTGGGGTTGAGAATTTGGATTAATTCTATGATGTTTTAAATTATCCTTAATTGCTTGGGTTTGTTTGGGGGGGGGGGGGGGGGGGGGAGGGGGAAGGAGCAGAGACAAGCGGAAGAGAAGAGGCGGAGGATGGAGGAAGGAGAGTGGAGAGTAGAGAGAGAAACGGGCTGGGTCTTGCTTGGGGTTTTGTTTGGAGTTTTGTTGGGGTTTTGATTTTGGGTTTTGTTTGAATTTGGGGAATTACCATTGATAGATAGCATAACTCCTACGCACATTTTTATTCATATTCCTTTTCTCTCATCTCTTATTTAGTTTTTTTCATTTAATAGACAAAAGAGAAGGATTTTCTTTTTTTGTACTCTCCCGAACTGTAACAAAGTGGTAAATTGCTAACAGCGCATTAGAGAAAGTGTGGGGATAAGGCCGACCTCGTTCCGCTACATTCATGAGATTCTACGGTTTAGGGAGTTCGCTGCTCGTGATTGACCGGAAAGGATCCGCCCCTAAATTCCTCACGCTAGTTTACGATTACATGGGTCAACTTAACAACAAAACCCATAGAGGCAGAAGAATGGCTTCCAATAGCTGTTATGATCAATCCAAAAAAAAGGAAAATTAGGATGCCTAATCCAGACCCATTCGCCTATGAAAGACCTTATGATCCTATTTTGGATTTGGATTCTGGAAGGAAAAGTCTTTTGACACAGAACATTTGGTCTATGTTCATGAAAGCAACAATAACCAATTTGGCGATTATTGCTCCCTGCTTGCGTTCTTTGTGATTTTATTATTTAATAATATCGTGCATCCATGATAAATTTTTTCCAGCCTCCCCCAACCCAATGCCAAACAAAGTTTTGTATATTTTTACAATGATATAATCTGGAAGGTGTCCTAAGATTCAACAATATTGCTTTTATTAATCATTTGGTTGCTCTTAAATTGCAGCTTTTGTGTTGAGTATTTTGGGTTATTTTTTTCTTCCCTTTATTTGTTGTTGGAAACACTGTTCTACTCTTGCTAATTTTGATGACAAGGAACTATGTTAAACTGCAGGACTAATTCCTAAACTGCAGGACTAATTCCTAAACTGCAGGACTAACTATATATAAAACAAGACATAGTATGCCATAATACATTTGTGTACATGTAATTGAAGAGGAATGTATCCATTATTATGATATGAAATTGCATGAATACTATTTAGCTAAATAGTTTTCATGAGGTATAGTTTTTACTTTGTTGATTGAAGAGTTTTTTTTTTTAGCCATGAAATCTGAAGATTTTAGTTTTTGGTTTTCACCTCTTGAACCATCTGATCGATTGCATTACATTAATGTGGGTAGTCCATTGTTTTTAAGCCTGGGAAATATTAAAGTATAAAACCTTTCTTCTAAGAAAATTTTCTGCATGTTTTCTCAATCATCTTAGTTTATGATTGAATTTTATACTCCATTCCTGTATTTCATCAAATTATCAATTGGGTTGTTTTTCTTTTGTCATTTCAAGAATTGAGTTAGTTCTTCTTTGTGATTTCAGTAATTGAGTCTTTAGTCACTGCACAGATTCATGGTTTTTTCACCCTTTCAGAAGCAGTTGATTGAGTGGATGCGATTCTGTTGAAGCTGAAAATCTTTGGATGATAGTTTTAGTTTTATGATCATTAACCTCCATTTCTTATGCACGGTCAATAACTATACAATGCGTGAAGGTAGCCTAGCTTTTATTGTTCCTCCCTGCGACCTTATATTATCTGCACTCAAAATATGTTGTGCAGCATATTTTCTGTTTCATTTTGTCGACATATGCACTGTTTATATTATCTGCACTCAACATATGCACTGTTTATATGCAGTGGAGTGGATTAGAATTACCTCATTTTGAAATGTTCTTCAAAATTTAAAGTGTGATTTTGCATTTTGTTAGTTAGGCGGCAGCCGGGTTGGAGAGGTAGTGGGAGAAGAAATGTATTGCCACCGAAGAAAATTGTCTAGCTTTCGATAAATCACAGATATGACAGATCAAAAGGTAATGATTTTTACACTTCCGTTGTCTATTATATTGTATCACTCTATTCTCCTCCATTCTTTTCAATCCAAAAAATTCAATTCAGATATTGTATGAAAGTATGGTTTATTTTATTCTCTTTTAAATTGAGAATTGGAGGATTTTTTTTTTTTTTTGGTTGAGTTCAAATCAAAGAAAGTTTTTGGTCTTATCTTATTTTCTTTTTATTAATTTTTCTTTTCTATGAATAATATTAGTAAGACCGCTTTGGTAAGCAAAATTCGATTATATAGGCATGGTTGCTTACAAGACAAAAGATCTGTTCTTTTTGCTTTATGATTTCTAGGCTTTTAGATTAGAAATGTTAGTTTCTAACACCATGGCATATGGTCAAGTACAAGATTGGGGTAATGACACTTATAAAATCTGGGGTTGTAATAAGTAACTTTTTCTTTGTTCTCTATCATAGCACTATGTATTCGAATTGCATAGGGTGTTGTTGCTGGTGCTGTACTCTCCATGGATATTTTGGAGCCGTTGTGTGATTTATTGCATCTAGGCCGGCCTTGCTTATGGAGATCTTTGTTGATGGTAAGCTATTAATCTCTGAGATCTATTTCTTTTTGTTTATTTCACGTGTGGCTATTTATTGAAATTTGATCTGCCAAGAACTGGAGATGGTCTTGGTTTTTAGGTTAAAATTGAATCATCCATCATTTTGAAAACATGGTATTTCTGATTAAACCTATAACAATGGATGCATAGGTTATACATGTGGATTGTCACATTATTGTAGTTCTCAATTGATTTATGAAAGGTAGTCTTAACTCTTCGTCTATGTACCAATTTTCTTATTTTAGTGCTCAGGCAAAAATTATAGAGGAGTTTATTTGTTGGAGACTTGAAGAGTAAAACTTAGCAGCGCAGTACCGCTGGAAGTGGTAATTGCTAATCAGGTTTCCACTCTTTTTTCCACATACTTTGGTTCAAAAGTAATGCCATTTGAATGATGAAACATTAAGTTGGCATCTCAAGCAAATGTTATTTGCCACTTCCTTTTTAAATGAATTTTAAGATTAGCCCCAGTCCATGTTTGTTTAACAATGTTGTATCATTCATTATATAGTTTCACAAAGAGCGAGCATAATTCTTGCTGAACTTGGTTTGGTTTTCTTTTGTTTAGGGATCGAGCAAGCGAATCACAGTTCGACCAAGTCTTGAATGATGAATTGAGGCAAATCATTGAGGTCTCTTTGTCAAGTTAAATTTTCATCTACTTTTCATTTGTAATGCTTAGTTCTTCACTCATGAATTTGCATAAGATTAAATAAATTTTCAAACTCGCAGCAACGTGTTGGCACTGTTGCTAGTTAGCTTCTATTGGGCATTATTAATATTTCTATGATTGGGTGCGTAGTTCTATGATTAAGATTATTAATTCATATTTTATGTGGTATATATGTATTTGTGATGTTTTCAACAACTGAGTTGTTTAATTAGTTGAAGTCATTGGACATGATTCCAGATTTTTATTTTTTTTTCCCACCCCACCCACACCAGGCCTCGAACCTGGGACCCCACACCCACACCCTCACCACTAGGCTATTCCTAGTGGCTTAACATGAGGCCAGATTTGATTGAATAGCATGATCTCATTCTCATTGCAGAGCTTTAACTAATGTGGGGACAATGCAAGCTAACCGAAAGAATAATGTGGATGGAAAATGAACTCTTTTGATTTTCGTACATGTGAAATTTATGACGCCAGATTTGATTGAATAGCATGATCTCATTGCAGAGCTTTAACTAATGTGGGGACAATGCTAGCTACCCGAAAGAAATAAATGTGGATGGAAAATGAACTTTTTTTATTTTTGTAAATGTGAAATTTTTGAATTGACCGTGCCTTATGTACATGAAGATACATTTAAGCACTTAATCAGTCACTAGTCGGTTATGAGAATCTTTTTACAATTGGGTAAAATGGATTAAGAAATGTTTACTTTAGTGGTATTAAGCATTTATCCCACACCCCAGCAAAGAGTTTCGAACATTCCCCTCCCATTTTGGCCTCCATTCCACAGAAGAGAGACAAAAATAGAGATTTGCTGAAACAATTCTAAATTTGTGAACTTCACTTGAAAATTATTTGAATTTGTGGAACTGGCTTAGCGAGTTTTGTACTTAGTCAAGAGTTTGAGCATTCTCTCCTCTGTGCCGAGTTCGAACAATCCCCTCCCATCTTGGTCTACTTCTAAAGAAAATTAAGAAAAAAAAATATAGAGTAGTAAAAGTACACCGGCATCTCTAGTGGAAAGATGCAATTATGAGATGCTAAAACACATTTACTTCTCATTTTGTATCTCCAAGAGATGTGAATGTAGATTCCAATCCAATGGAGGAGATGTAAATTTGGGACCCTAATTTTCTTCTCTCTATAACTTTGTCCATGTTCTAAAAATGTAAAATAAGTGTACATTTGCTTTCTTTTTATTTACATTTTCTGCCAATGATGAATTTTTTACATCTTTCCACGGAGAGATTTTTGGCCAACAAGAAATGTAAAATGCCAATTTCAAGGCATTGTAGAGCATCTCAAAAATAGAGGTGTAAAATATTCACCTTGGCTAGAATATGTAATTCAGAACTTAATTTACATCTTTTGGTGGTGGGTCCTGCCAATCAAATAAAAACATTAAATGAGATCTCAAACTTGCATATTTCTCATTGGAAATACAACTCATATCTAAATCTTCCAGAAATGTATATTGTGATGTAAATATGATTTTTACATCTCAAATTAGAATTTATCTTTCCATTGTTGATGCTCATACATCTCCCATTAGAGACGTTGTTCGAAAATTATTGGAAGTTCTTGAAATTGACTTAGGAAGAATTTCATCGAGTTAGTTATTAATGAGTTATGACCCCTTAGTTTGATTTGAAAAGAAAAAAATTGGACATCGTAGTTTAAAGAAAATTGAAAACTACAAACACATATCCGGAAGGTTTATACTTTTATATTCACAAAGTTTTATGAGGCCTGTCATATTCATTGGTTTAAGATGCATGAAAATAGATTGCACTACAATACTAATCCTCTACCGGATCGAACCCTAAATTGATGCAAGGCACCAATATTCCCTTCTCACTTATTTACAATAGAGTTGCAAGTTTGTAGTTCCTTCTCGGTTTCTTAATTAGTTTAATTAGTACTTAAAGCTACTGAAATGTGAAATTAAAGTGATAGATACGTCATTAAAAGCAAGAATTCCCAAGATTATTGGTTTAACACACACACAATATAGTGAAACTGAAATACTTGGAAACTAAAAAATAAGAGAAACTAGTGATGAAAACTAATGCCACTTTCGCAGGGAACTCGATTGCATTGAGCGCATGCAACAAGCCTTTTAAACCCATAGGTGACCCTGATGGGACGAGTGAAGTCTCGTGAGGGTTTCCAGAGACGTTACCCACAAACATTATGTGATAGTTATGATCATGAATGCCGAGTGGCTGTAGAGAGATCCCTTTTTTTAGAGTCCGACTTTGTGTTGTCTTATTTGAGGTTAGGGTTTGCCTTATCTTCTTCAGGGTCAGGGTTTGCCTTATCTTCTTCAGGGCCAGGGTCTGCATTGTCTTCTTCAAGGCCAAGGTCGGGATTTGCCTTGTCTTCTTCAAGGCCAGGGTTGGCATTGTCTTCTTCAGGGTCAGGGTTTACCTTGTCTTCTTTAGGGCCAAGGTCGGGATTTGCCTTGTCTTCTTCAAGGCCAGGGTTTTCCTTCGAAACTTCGACAACCCTTTTATCGTTGATTTTGATGTTGTTGTTGTTGTTGCTACTGTCTTTGTTGTTGTTGCTATTCTTGTTGTTGTTGTTGTTGTTGTTGTTTTCGTTAGTAGTTGTTGATGTTGTTGTTGTTGTTGATGTTGTTGTTGATGTTGATGTTGATGTTGTTGATGTTGATGTTGCCTTGTCTTCTTCAGTTTCAGGGTTTGCCTTCTCTTCTTTAGGGCCAGTGTTTGCCTTGTCTTCTTCAGGTTCAGGGTTTGCCTTGTCTTCTTTAGGGCCAGTGTTTGCCTTGTCTTCTTCATGGTCAAGGTTTGTCTTGTCTTCTTTAGGGCCAGTGTTTGCCTTATCTTCTTCAGGGTCGGGGTTTGCCTTGTCTTCTTCAGGGCTAGGGTTTGCCTTGTCTTTTTTAGGGTTAAGCTTTGCCTTGTCTTCAGAAAGGGCTGCCTTCAAAACTTCGACAACCCCTTCATTGTCGATGTTGATGTCTTTGTTGTTGTTGTTGTTATTGCTATTGTCGTTGTTGTTGCTGTTCTTGTTGCTGTTGTTGTTGTTGTTGTTGTTGTTGGTTGATGTTGTTGTTGATGTTGATGTTGTTGTTGATGTTGTTGTTGATGTTGTTGTTGATGTTGATGATGATGATGATGATGATGATGTTTCCATGTTAGATGGTATGATCACTCTCACTACTCTCTTCATCTTTTTTCTCTATTCTCTCTTCTCTCTTTCTCGTGTGTTTTACTTGCTCCATAGCTTTGAAACTGCTATCCTATTTATAATCAAGGATAAGCGCACACCATTTTTCTCTATTCACATTATGTGTTCACACTAATGGTTTCGTATATAAGGTGTTTTTATTTTTTATTTAGGGTAAATATCAATTTACTACACTCAAATTTCGTGATTTTCAATATTTGGTACATGAAGTTTTTTTCGTTCCAGAGTCATACCTAAAGTGTTAATTTTTGGACAGTCTCATACATCCGTTAGTCTGACTATTAAATCTCCTATTAACTGATGACGTGGTGACGTGGTTAACTGATGACATGGTGCCCATGTGGACAATGATTGAGCGCCACGTGTCATTAAGGTACCGTTTGATACGTGGGATGGGACGGAACGGGACGAGCCGTTCCGTCCCACGTTTGGTGCGCCTAAAAATTGTAGAACGAGTTGTCTCATGAGACAAAATTTGGCTGATTTTTCGTTCCACCTCTTCCCCCTGGAACGACCTGTTCCACATCCGTGGGACACAAATTTATAACATTTTATGACAAAATTTCTCCTTATCTTTTTCAATATTTACATCATTTGTTCCGTTCTGTTCCGTCCGTTTGAGTACCAAACGGTACCTAAGGGTTCACTTGGAAATAAAAAATTCGATAAAAAAAAAAGGCTTCTACCTCACCCGCCCTTCCCACCACCCAATCCTCCCTCCCTCTCTTCTTTCATCTACTCCAAGCTGGATACTGAGGTCAGCGCCCAAGGTCGAGTTGACTGCACGGTCGGCAGAGCCAAGGCAGAGGATGAACTGGTAGGGGCGGAGGCGGCGCTTGGCTGCTCGTGGGTGTTACGCGAGGGACTAGAGGAGCACGGCGGAGGTGGACTCGATCTTACCTTCCGCGAGGCGACTGAGCGGTTCGTGCTCAACAGCGGCGACGCCAGTCAAGAAGTCATGCTCCATGCAGAAGTCATCGATGCAATTGAGAGTGACAACCAATGGGAACGATGAGGTTACGATGAGGTAACGTGCTGTGCAAGCAAAAAGTGCTGTCCAGAGCTATGTGCATGGGACCATTTCACACCACAGATTCGTAGATCTACATTGATACTGAATTTAATTTCAACGTCAGAAAATTGAATACAAACAGGGATACAAGGACCGGTGTTTGGTAAAAAAAACCTTTAGAAATCAAAGGAAAAGGGCCTACATTGTATCTGCCTTACGTTACAGCTGTCACAGGTCTAAAACATCAGATTCGTACAAATACATTAATACTGTTCGGTTAAAAATAAGATCTAAAATATCGATATTATTCTGATATTTATCATCGATATTTTAGACCTTGATAGGAACTTTATGTGGTATTATGTCACTAATGTATCTTACCATGTAATGCATGAAGTGTAAAATATTGTACTAATTCATTATATATAAATGATTATGGTGTTTTTAAACTTCTTTAATTAATTACTATATATTTTCTACACTCACAATGTTTGCCAACTTGCTATAGAATCAACTTAAATAAGTTAAATCTATCATGCAATGCAATTCCTTCTATTTTTTGTGATAAACTAATAGATAATTGACTAAATAAACATCCTGGAAAGTTTCAGAAAAAATTTCAAAGTTTTTCTTAAAATTTCCGTGGTTTTTATTCAATTTTTATCGATATCGATAATATTCCGATATTTCCATTGAAATTTCCGTGTTTTTGGACTACCGATATTTCCGATATCATCGATATTTTATAACTTGGGCCTCAGTTTTTTTTTTTAATTATAATGTTTTTTGAATTTTTAATTTCCACGTAGTGCCCAATCATTATTCATATGTGCGTCACGTCATCAGTTAACAAAAAACTTAACAACCATACTAACAAATATATGAGACTGTCTTAAAATTAAAACTTTAGGTATGATTCTGGAATAAAAAAATTTCATGTACCAAATATTAAAAACCACGAAACTTCAGAGTAATAAACTGAAATTTATCCTTTTATTTAGTATGTGGTTAGAAAGAAACGTGCAAATGATCATGCGATCAACGTCCTGTGCAAACAAAAATGCTGTCCAGAGCTATGTGCATGGGACCATTTCACACCATAGATTCGTAGATCTACATTGATACTGAATTTTAATTTCAACGTCAGAAAATTGAATACAAACAGGGATACAAGGACCGGTATTCGGTAAAAAAAACCTTCAGAAATCAAAGGAAAAAGGCCTACATTGTATCTGGCTTACGTTACAGCTGTCACAGGTCTAAAACATCAGATTCGTACAAATACATTAATACTGTTCGGTTAAAAACAAGATCTAAAATATTGATATTATCCTGATATTTCCATCGAAATTTCTTTATTTTTGGAGTAGCGATATTTCCGTTATCATCGATATTTTAAACCTTGATAGGAACTCTATGTGGTACTATGTCACTAATGTATCTTACCATGTAATGTATGAAGTGTAAAATATTGTACTAATTCATTATATATAAATGATTATAGTGTCTTTAAACTTCTTTCATTAATTACTACATATTTTCTACACTCACAATGTTTGCCAACTCGCTATATAATCAACTTAAATCAGTTAAATCCATCATGCAATGCATTTTCTTCCATTTTTTTGTGATAAACTAATAGATAATTAACTAAATAAACATCATGCAAAGTTTCAATAAAAGTTTCAAAGTTTTTCTTAAAATTTCCGTGGTTTTTATTTAATTTTTATCGATATCGATAATATCTCGATATTTCCATTGACATTTTCGTGTTTTTGAACTACCGATATTTCCGATATTATCGATATTTTAAACCTTGGATAAAAACCTTTGATAGGAACAGAAGGGAAAAGGCCAACGTCGTACGTACCTGCACTAATTACAGTTGTTACTATATATTGAAAAACATTGATCAGACGTCTGCTATAAAGGAAAATGTTGTTGTTTTATAATGACTCGCATATTAGCACGGGAGAATAAGGGATCCTCTCCGGATCCTATTCATCAAATTCATCAAGTTTATCAATCTAAATCTTTGAAATTTGATCTAACGGTTAAAAACAGGAGTATCTTTTAAAACTTATAATAATTTTAGCCGTTTGATCAAATTTTAAAGATCCGGATTGATGAACTTAGTGGATTTGGTGGAAGGGATCCGGAGAAAATCCATTTCCTTGTTTCACATTATTATTAATTTTACTGATTTGTATGTTGACTACTTGTTTATCTCATGATAAAAGTTTGTTATGATGAAGAAAGCTGAGCTCTCTAAAATTAATCGACAATATGCAAGTTAATTACTTATAAGTTAATTACTTATAAGCAGATGCAATGTCCTCTTTTATTCGATGTGGAATTCATACTCCTAATATGCACATTATGTTTGTTAAAAAGGAAATGACAATTTTATTCGATGTACAAAAACAAAATAGAACAAATTATTCTATCATTTAACAAAATAGAACTCACTAAAAACAATATTATGTTTGTTAAAAAGGAAATGACTACACCCAACTTTTATCTCTTCTCACCCAACAAACTCGTTTTACTCTACAAGATTTTAAAAACTTAACATCTACTCTCCGCACTCACCAAATCTTCCAAAATTACCCCTTCCTAATCCTTCTCTATCTTACACGATATATCTTCTCATCCAAGAACACCCCTTCCTAATCCATCTCTATTTTTTTTTTGTCATAAGGTAAATTGTTGTTACCGACCAACATAACTTACATACACGACTAGAGACCAAACACAAAAAAAATACAAAAACAACAGATGAGCCTCCAATATAACAACAAAAGAAAACACCAATCCGAAAGTAGAGCCCAATACAGAAAAACACGCAAGAAAACCATAAACTCCTCGATCCTCTTCCTCCGCTGAAGTGCTTGCCGCCGCCGACGATCCAGTCCCCCTGCAAATCACTAGAGATAAGAACCAGCCAAGCTCTGAAACAGAAAAAAGAAACAAATTTCATCATCCTCGAGCAACGTCCGCACAACTTCAAATTGCAACCACCAAGAGAATGAATGGAAAGAAAAGAAACAAAGTTCATCGTCCTCGAGCAACCTCCCCACAATCCTTCTCTATCTTACATGATATATCTTCTCATCCAACAACCTCTCCTTCCATATGGGGCTGCCTAACCCACTTTCCTCCATCAATATTCGGTTCTTCATCAAGTTATGCACAATATTAAAGTACGCAACGAACAAGATTACAAAATAATAAGAATATTATTAAATAAACGAGAATGCCGAAACGGTTACAAAATGCTAAGAGACTACATTGTGAATAACTTATTAGTCATGCTAAACTATAAGCTATATTTATAGAGAGCAAAACCTAGAAACCCTAAATCGGATGGGCTAGGCGGCCCATATACTAACTAACAAGCAAACTCAAATAATTATAATATACTAATATTTTCCAACACCCCCCCCCCCCCCCGGTCAAACTCATAGCGGTATACGACATGAGTTTGCAAACAACCAGATGTAGACTGGCTCCGTTAGGCGGACTGGCAGACATGCAAGCTTGACTGGACTTGACTTGACTTGCGAACTGGCAAATTTGACTTGACTGGATCGCCGAACTTGACTTGACTAGCGAACTTGCAAACTGGTTCCTATTCAGGTATGTTGATTCTGGCTAACAAACTGATTATGATTCACACTGGCTAATGTTGAGAGTATGGAAAGAACCAGTCACTAAACGGACGAGATTTCCATATCTCAATTGTACCAATAACAACACCAACAACGTGTGTGGCCCCAAAACAAACTTAACTATGTTTTTTTTTCCTTGCCCGTGTGGGCCTAAAACAAACCAAAACTAATTTCTTTTCCTTTTTTTTTCTTTCTTATTTTCTTTTCCACTTTTTTCTTACTTCCCTTATCCCTTTTTTTCGTTTTTTCTTCTTTCTGGACTAACGCCATACACCTCCAGCATTGGTGCAACAAGTGAGTGGTTCTAAGGCAGCGGGTACGGCAGTGGTGTGGTGGATTGCAGGCAACAATTTGGTGCGGGTTGAGATTGTGAGTACAAGGGTGCGGATGAGGTTCTGATTTCCAAGCTTGCAGGGTGGTGCAGAAACGACGATAAAGAATGGGGTCTATCCAGGCTTGCAGCAACAGGTCGGATTCTGGGTTAGATTACAGACGGTGGGACGGCACAAGACAAGCAGACGGCGAGGCAAGATCTGGAGGAAGGAAGCTTCAGGTTTTTGTTTTCTTCTGCAAACTAAACCAAGGACAGAAAACAAGAATACGTACATACTGACAAACAGAATACCAACCCGACCAAGCAGATTAAAT